AATAATAAAAAATAAAATAAATAAAATAAATATACATAAAATTCAAGGTTCAGTCAAGGAGCTTCGAAACGGCTTCGCGCGAACGAACGAATCAACAACCCCTTCCTAAACGCTAAACGTCCAAAATACCACAGACATTACCGCATAAAGCCAAAACCTTTCTAGCTCTAAGCCTCCACCCCTGAACCCCTTCCCAACCACCGCCTTTCCAACCCGAATGCTTCATCAAACACAAAATTCCGTACAATTAACGTTATAAATTGGGTTTACCTTATGGTGAAGGGAAGGGCAGCTGGGAAATTAATGTGAATTTCTGACGGTCTCCTACGGCAGGAACACGGGTATTGTACTACACTGAATTTAGTGTTATTCCTGAGATCGTGACTATTTCTCTCTGTTCATTTCAACGGAATATTACGAGGAACTTTTACTCCCAACACCAGCACTGAACACTGTGACAACAAAACTGTCAGATTTCCCGGTAGATGGCAGCACGTGCGCTAAGTATAACTGCGAATAGTATTTGTAAATATTTAAAGAAAATGTGTGTATATGATAATATGCAGACGCGTGACTTATTCAAAGAATGTATATTTGATAAATGCGTGCTTGGAAGAGAAAGATACTCTAAATGTATGTGTGTGTGTGTGTTTTCGAAACTTGCAAGAAGACTATGATCTACAGTTTTCTTCAAACCGGTTCTGTCCTTTTTCATACTCTAGCCAAAAACTAAAAATAATACGGATTTATTGGAAAATGAGACTAGTGCTATGAATATTATGTGTCACACCAGTTTAGTATAGTTAGTCCGATATGATCCGTTTTCCTTTTATTGACTGAACATGTTTAAAACCTTGAATTTCCAGAGATTATTAATGATAAAAACTATCCCTACCAGATCAAGAACTTATTGTTAATACCTCCATAATTCGGGAAATTTTGTTTTTGTATATTTCATAAAAGGATGTCATTTTTGCTATTCTGATTTCTACAGTAATATAAACTATATTATTCATATCCTTAATGATATAATGATTTTAATTTCTTCTATTATGTTATTTATATTAGCTGTGCATAAGATAGATATACGTTTATTTCTGTTCGATATTTTAAGTATGAAGCTAAGGACTTTTTTTCAGAAAAGGTTATTGCAAAACTTCTGTTCTGTTTGAAAGTATTATAGGTGAAAAAAAAAACTTTAATTATCCCTCAAAATGGCGTTTTATAGGCTTTATCTCCAACGTCCTCATCTGCAATATCTCTCGAATTTTGTTGCTGGCGAATTTCAAGTTTTAGCTCGTCAACATAACGACTATAGTAACAGAAATAATAAGTATGAGTATGAATATTTTTTTTTCCTTGAACCCAGGGTGACGTTTAATATCCTGCCCGAGACAAATGATAGGTATGCAGAAGTTAAATAAAATGGTTGTTTTTAGGACAGTCAAGTTATAACCCATAATTCTAGCATGCGATGTAGCACCAGGTGTAAGGAATTCAAATTTCAGTTACCCTTATAACCATATTATTTTTTTTATACATGTAAAGGATTTTGTACGCTGATAGCCCGAATGCCGCTGTAGATAAAGCCTGATATTTAATTGAATTATATAATAAAAAAAAAAATACACCATACATTCATATAAAATGCTACATTAAAGTTGAAAAATGTTTTACAGGTTTAAGTCACAGAATCAAAATAAAGAAAAATAAAAATCACAGCTAAAAAAAAAAGGCGAGGCGACTCCACCCTTTATCAATATCACATCCTCCCTTACAAAGAAAAAATGCAGAAGGAATTCGAAATCATTGACTTGTATAGATAGATACATACATACATACATACATATATACATGTTATTATCGTTATTTATTCATTTATTCATTTATTTATTTTTTACACACTTCATGGTAAGAGACAGCAAGTTGGATAATATCATCATCATCATGTTATCTCCTCCTCCTCCTCCTCCTCCTCCTCCTCCTCCTCCTCCTCCTCCTTCTTTTGTTTTCTTCTTCTCCTACTTCTTGTTCTTTCGCATCATATTCTTTTTTTCCCTTTTCTTCTTCCTCCGCTCCTTCTCCCTTTTCTTCTTCTTCTCCTTCTCCTCCTTTTCCTCCTCTTTCTTCTTCCTCTTCTTTTTTTTTTCTTCTCCGACCTCTTTTTGATCGTCTTCTACTTCTTACTTCATCTTTTTTTTCTTCTTCCTCCTCTTCCTCCTCTTCCTCCTCTTCCTCCTCCTCTTCCTCCCCCTCCTTCTCCTCCTCCTCTTCCTCTTCCTTCTCCTCCTCTTACTCCTTCTCCTCCTCTTCCTTCTCCTTCTCCTCCTCCTCCTCCTCCTCCTCCTCCTCCTCCTCCTCCTCCTCCTCCTCCTCCTCCTCCTCCTCTTTCTCCTCCTTTTCCTCCTCTTCCTCATCCTTCTCCTCCTCTTCCTTCTCCTTCTCCTCCTCCTCCTCCTCCTCCTCCTCCTCTTCCTTCTCCTTCTCCTCCTCTTCCTCT